GTACTCATGAGACAGAGACAAAACCAACAAGGCTAACTTGAACAGTGTATGTCAGGAAATGTTGGGAAATTAGGTTTCAGGGGTTAGAAAGTGTAGGAGAGGAACTTAGACTTCATGTGGTAGATGATGGGGAACTAGTCTCAATCCTTGAGCATGAAATGATGCAATGAAAGTGGGATTAAGGAAGATTATGTTTGTTTGCCAGGAGAACTGGATAGTATCTGCACTTTCCTTACACTGTGTGTGTTGCTCTGTTTCATTCTAAGTAGGTTAAACACTTTATTAATCAGAATGTGAGTTTTGTGGTAGCCACAAATTAACCCTGAAATCTCAATAGCTGAATACATAAGTGTATTTCTTCTTTGTGCTACTTGGCCAACACAGGTGAATGGGGTATTCGGATGAGGAATTCTCCATTTAATTTACTCATTCAAGTATCCATGCTGACAAAGTTCCCCCATCATCTTGAACATCGCTGGTCACTGTGGCAGGAGAGAAAAGCAGGATGGAATATTCCTCACTGCTCTCTAATGCTTCAGCCTAAAACTGACATGTCACTTTTGTTACCAATCCATTGGCAAGAATTAGTCACATGTGCCCCTCAAGTGAACTTGAAGAATTCAGTGAACAGTAAGTATCTCTTCCAAGGCTCTTTGAGGACCTCAGGCATATAGTTCTACTTGTTTAAGAGAGATAATATCACGATTAAGAGAGAAGACCATAGAATTGGACTGTCAGAGTCTAGAGCCTGGCTCCCCCATTTACTAGCTGTGTGACCTTGGACAAGTTACTCAGCTTCTCTGGAGTGTAATTTCCTCATCTGTAAAATAGGGATAGTAATGGAATGAGCCTCATAGAATTATTGTGAGGCTTGAAAGAGGAAAGTGTGTGTGTGTGTGTGTGTGTGTGTGTGTGTGTGTGTGTGTGTGTGTGTGTTAGAACACTATGCCATGTAACTGTTAGCAAGTATTCATTATTGTTATTAATCTGCTGGCTTCCAGTGTATCATCTAAAAGGAAGGCTAAAGTTTCTGACTCTGACTGAGGGGACCAGTGGGAAACAAGTCGTAGTAATTTATGTCTGTGATGCCAACATCTGGACTATGATGATGATATTGGGCAAAGAAAAGATGGGCAAGAGAGTGTGAGAGGAGAAAACCCAAGCAAGAGTCACTGGATGAATACCATGGATGAGAGAAAGATGATCAGGTGTGGGTGACTGAAAGAATGAAACTTGAGTTTGCAGAGAAATTAGGGGGCCCCTGCAGGGAAAGAAGGTGAGCTGAAGTTTAGATGGTGACGGGGGATGCCCAAGGCGTAGGAGGCCACAGGAAATGGAGGAATGGAGCCATCTCTTAATGAACATGTTTCTGGAAGTGGTGATGTTCTCATGCTCTGAGTCAGGCTACAGGCACTGAGGTCAGATGGTTTGGATTTAATTCCCAGCTTCACCTCTCCATGTGGCTTGGCACCCTTAGTTTCCTCATCTGCAAAATGGTGATAATAATTGTACTCATCTCTTAAGGTAATAAGGATTGAAAGAGATAATACCTATTTAGTGCTCAGAAAAGAGGCATGTAATAAACAGTTAATAATTGTTCCTTCTTAGCTAATTGAGTTTATAGTTGAATAGAAATTTGGGGATTATCTTTAAGTGATCAGTTTATCAGAGTTTAATATAAAACAGGCTTCTATTGGCAGCAGTTCTCATGAGTACATTTAATCCTCCCTAGATTCAAAAAAATGTGCGATGTCGTCACCAGATCAGCTTTTCATTTTTTCGTTCTTATCTGAATAGTCAATGAGCAAATTTTGTAGCTTTGCAAAGAATAACAGATTACAATGGGCTAAAAGCTGACCAAAATAGACCATTGTAAGGGCTAATTTAAGATCAGTGCTTCCCCTTTTAAAATTGCCTGGTACTTTTTACTGATTGGTAAGTGTTCCTGCCCTTGCCTCTTGAAATATAAAATTATTTCCAAGCAGATACAGATGTTTCTGTATCTACATTTAAATCGGCATGTTGGGTAATTAGCTCTATCTTTTAATATGACTAGTTTAAATTGCATAGTCTCAGAAGGTAACTGTCTTCAGTTATACATATGCTCTAGCATATGTAATTAGGCATTTAGGGTGTTTCTTTTCACTTCATTGAGAAATTAAGAACTTCACAGAAATTTCATTAGGACTTTCGAATTTTGTTAGTAATAGTGCAAAACAGGTGGTGTTCAATTAGATGGATATTTAAGAAACTTCTGTGTGCCAAGCTCTGTACCAGGTTCTGTGTATATAACAGACAACATCCTCATCCTCACAGAACTCATAGCCTAGCTGAGCTCATAATCTACACACTGTTGGTTATTTGTCTTATTTAAGGATAGATTGCCTGCTGGCATACAATGAAACAGGCCTTCTAATACTTTTTGTTCTCTGTGATTAAGTTCTGTATACTTTATGGCTAGGATATGGAATTAGAGTTACATTCCTCAAGCTGTCTCTAAGTTAACAGGTACCTTTTCTAAACTTAGGTTTATTTATAAAGTATGGGTGATACTTCTCATCCTGTTTCACAGGATAATAGAAAGGAAGGCTTTACATAATGTGTGGACTGTTTTGTAAATTATTGAGCTCTTTTCATATACTTGATGTCATTTCTAGCATCTAGCATTTTTACTATTTTTATATTTATTATTTAAATATACGTTATTTTAATATGCATATTAAATTAGATTTATATTAAATGTTTTTAATATTTACTATTGTATACTATCTGTACTAGTCTATGCTATACTGAAGAGTCGATGTATTTATACCGATTCAAACTAAATACTTTGAGAGTTTTTTTAAGTTAACCAAAAGATCCTTTTAGAAATAAAATTGTGGTACAGGTAAATATGGTTAGCTGCCATATAACTATCAGCTTTCCGAGAAGAGTTTTTGTAGTTCACTGTTATTTAAAATTGTTAATAATACTTCACCAGATTCATGTAGAAAATACTTGTAGGATTGTGGTTTTCAAACAATATATTATATATCCGGCTACCTCCTTTGTTCTAAAACGGATTACAAAAATAATACAGCATTGTCCCTGTTCTCTAAGTTAACATACTTGTGAAATAAATGCATGGGAAATCAATGTGAAGCCAACTAATAATACAAGATAATGGGAGGTTGCTCCAAGGCCAAGTACGAATGTCTTCATGAATGAAATAGGAAGTAAGGGCCTTTTAAAGGAGTGCAAATAGCTAAGTTTGACTAGAATACTTTTTTTTTTTCCATATTAGTTGGAGATAGGTTTAAAGTTTACCTTTTTGGCAATATGGCTACGGATGATTGGATAAAATCATTTATATAGATTTGTGGTATAGTAGAGGGAGGACGTAGAAAACTAAACAGATAAAAGAATATGTTATTCCTTTGTCAAGTGACATAGATACTTACTTTCTTGTTTGAAGGATCTTAAGAATCGACTCCATCAGCACAGAGAGGACGCTGTCATCTGTTGTGAAGCAGCATGTTGCCTCATACATATAATAGTCTATGCTCAAATGTGATCATAGAACTAGTGTACCATAAAGATGCTATGAAGTTAAGGAAGCTTTGGTTCTGGTTTTCCTTTTAGTAGCTTACGCAGTGGTTTTTCTTTTGGGATCCAACTCAAATGACTGCATAAGTTCCACCATGCATAAAATTTAGTGTTTTGTCCTTTCTTTGCCTTCACTTAGGAAGGTTTATAGATGGAGTGAAGGAAAGGCCCTAAGATTCTGACTTCCATCCATGTGATCTCACCTGTCTCCATAAGGTGTTTCAAAGACCAGTGCCTATTTTTTGTCAGTGGCTTTAAGGTCAAGTAGCTCTTTGTGAAATTAATGTAATACAAATCTGAAAGTACTCGGTAAATGGTGTTGAATCAATCATTAAGATTCATTTTCTTACAGGAAAAAAACTGAAAATGAGTAAGAAAGAAAAATATTTTCAGGATATAAAGCCTAATAAAAATTTAAAATATGACTCATGATACAGCATTTTATTTCTTTATGTTCCATTATCAAAATTGGTATCATTGCTAATATAGATATTATATTGGGGTATTTTGGGATTGAGTAAAACAAATTTGTGCTGGCAGGCAGGGTGACTATACTTGTAAAGGTCATGTTACTCATACTAAGATATTCATTTGAGCAAGTATATACTGTTGTAAAGAATCCCGGAAACTAAGTTTGTAATTTTGCATTTTACTCACTATCTTTTTTAGGCAAGCAGCAACTATACGTCCTGCCGCTCATCTTTCCTTACCCTTTCTGGTAACCCAAGCCATTGAAAGATACAGGGTACTAACAACTTGTAAATAAGAAAGAAATGACCCCCTAGAGACCCAAGAAAAACCAAGCATATTTGCATATTTTTTATTCCCAAGAATTTAGCAAGTTATCCTCTTTCCAATGGGTACCTCCACATAAAGCCTTCGTCATATTCCTGAGCAATGTCCCTCAGATACTATGCTGTCTGTTTGCGGGAAAAGCTAATGCTTTCATTGCCTCTCTCATCATCATCATTTACTATAATGTTGCTTTCCAAATCTATCTACTGCTAATTATAGTCTCCTTGTAACTTCTACTGATAGTTGACAGTGAGCATTGAAGGACAGACTCATAATTCTGTAGAACACTGCTCTTTATTCCAAAAGTGTTCTTTGAAACAAAATTTTACGACTCAGAACAAAACAAAACAAAAAGCTGGCGTATTGAGGAAATCTAAGATTGAAAGAAACATGGATTGAAGAAATATCAAAAAAAAAGAAATATATTACAATATTAACACTTTTACACTGGCAACATATAATCTTAACAGTCTTTTCTTTTGCCAAATTATTGGCAGGAAATATTAATGATTAGATTTTTCATTAACACAAAACTTATCGTTTCATACTGAGTTATTAAAATAGACTTCCTTTTGGTATAGCATTTCATTTACAAATTAAAACTTTGCTTTATGTTCTCTTGAGTGTAAAGAATACATATTTATCAGTTTACTTCCAAGTTGGACGTGGGAAATAGTGCCCAATGAAAGGAATTTAAAAGAATTCTAATTGGAAGTTGAATAATCGTTTTGCTTTATAAGAAAAGTCCCACAAAGTTTGTCATATAGTTTGCTATAAATCCAAGATTTAATTCCTTTTTACTTTCCATTTAAAGACTTGGAATGTATCATTGTTTGAGTTTCTGTCATTTCACGTGAGTTTTCTTCAGGGGCTGACTTCACAGCACTGGAAATTGATACACTGACTTGACGTTTCAACATCTTCATAATCTTTCTCTTGTATCCTTTACATGCAAAGAAATATATAAAAGGGTCCATGCAGCAATTAAAGTTCATCAGGCATACTGTAAAGTGCAGAGCAATCTGGAATGAATGTTTTTGGCCACATTCCAGGAGATCAGGAAAACGAAGCTTCTTAATCATATGTTGAATAATTGCGACATGGTAAGGTGTGAAACAGAGAATAAACACAATAATTATAAAAATAATTGTGTTAAGAGCCTTTTTATTTACACCAGATTTCTCAGTTAGTGGGTTTTGTTTGGCGGTTTTAAAGAGTTTGCAACAAATTTGAGAATAGCAGATGAGAATAATCGTGAGCGGAAGCACATATCCAATGAAACATGCACCAAGCAGAATCAAAGGAAGATATTTTGTTTCTTCAAAGTTTGGATATTCCATGCATGTAGTCCTTTCATCCTCCTGCTTTGACATAGATTTTATGAGTAGTGGGAGTGTTTGAGCAAATACTAGAATCCAGACAAATATGCAAACGCATTTCGCATATTCAATTCTTTTTATCTTGTTGTATCGCAGAGGGTGCACCACGGCAAAGAACCGGTCAATGCTGAGGCAGGTCATGAAATTCACACCTGCATACGTATTGATGTAAAACACGAGAGCAGTTATCCTACACAAGGCCTCGCCGATTCTCCAGTCAAAGCCCAATGCATAGTAGGCTATCCGTGTAGGCAAAGCAGTGGTAAACAGTATATCAGAAATCACCAGATTTGTGGAATATAGGGTAGTAGAGTTGATTTTCTTTCTGTTTTGAACAATGACGACCAAGGCTAGCAAGTTTCCTACAAGCCCAATTATGAAGACAATGCTGTAATGCAGAGGCATTAGTATCCTGGCTGTGTTGTGGTGTGCATAGAGGTCACAGTCACTTAACTGAGGAGCTGTAGTAAAATTGTTGTCCATTTTTATATCCATCAGCCAGTGTTCAGGGTCTCTAGGAAAAGACAAGAAGGCTGCGTTTCATTAAAAGATTTAACAGAAAGCAATATAAACTGCCTTTTATAGATCTAATTTAAAATTTTTAAGATTTATATAATTTTTAAAAATCTATGATAGATAATATAGTTACATATATAGTACAAGTTACGAAGAGCAGAATAAAATCCATGCTTTTGCTTTCACAATTTGGTGATTTTGGCAAAACCCGGGCAAATGAACTAGAACCATCTAAATAGAACAAATGTATTTTTGTGACAAGAGGGAATGCACTAACTTTTTAGGCAGAAATTTCCCCTTCTGTTTTTTGAATCATTGTCTGGTTAAAATAAAATCATGTAAAGCACCCCACATTTCAGACAGGCGTAAAACTTTGCTTTTAAATTGAATTTCAGTTGGACTTTTTTTTTTCCCCCCCAAAATGCATATCACTGCCAGGAAATGAAATTAGTCACACATTTATGTAGTGAAATATGAAATTACCACAGTGATCTGATTTGTGTTAACCTAAAAAGTATGAGAAACAAGCCAAGACCTTGTTAGGAACTGAAAGTTAGGTTTTCTTAAAAAAAAAAAAAAAAGATGATGATGAAGATGACCACGACAACCACAAGAAAAATGACAAAAAAAGGAGAAAAAGAAAAGAGAAAGAAATAGCTTAAGCTGCTTCAAGGGAAATTTTAAAATTAATTTTAAACTATATTATTCCATAGATACCCCATTTTGCATGCAGTATAAATTCTTTCATTTTCACATAGTAGTAAACATATGTGATATTTTGTGTTCTGCTTCATTTACTTAATATGTTCATGGATCAGTGTAGTATATATGTCATATGTATAGGTCTTATATAGATATTTGAAAGGTATACAATTATAATTTGCTTAACTACTCCCTTGATGAACATCTGAATTTTTTCTAATTCTTTTCCTGTTATAAATGATAGGATGAAATTTCAAGTCTTAAATTGGAAAGTAGAGAACTCCTACAGTAAAACTCCATAGATAAGACTGAACTTTGATAAAACTAAGGAAGAGCAAAGCAATTAATTCTGTGAAAATTATTTTTATGATAGGACTATCTATGTGCACGAGTTTCATCTCAAAGTCACCAAAGTTAAGGGAAAATTTCAATATATCTAATGATGACGATACTATATATTAAAAGAAAAAGACTCTATCCCTAGCATATCAAAGCACCAACTACAAATCTGCTTCTCTCACTGCTGTATCACATAAATTATATTTTTGCTAATTTAGTTTTAACAATCTTAAAACAGTGATATTAACAGACAACGAGGGTAATCAGAGGTTTACAGTAATGTTATAGGAGTGCATTACATACAGTGTTGATAGGTTCATTATTAAAATATGGAAATAAAACCTAAAGTAAAAGGGAACAAAAAATAGAAATAGAACTTCTTATTAATCAAGAGAAGACAGGAAAGGAGACCATGGAGAAAAAAGGGTAGAATGAGGATGATAAATAGAAAATAAAATAAGAGGATAGATATGTGTCACAAATTTAAATGGTTTGAACTTACCTATTGAAAGACAGAAACTATCAATTTGGATTTTTTAAAAAAATCCAGCTTTATACTGCTTAGATATAATGCAAAGCGATTCAGAAAGGTTGAAAATAGAGACATGGGCAAAAAATAACCAGTGTGGAACTAGAGTAGCAATATTAACATCAGAAAAAAATAGAATTTAAAGCACATTCACTATTAATAGGGATAGAGTCACTACAAAAGTTAAAAGAGTGGTTTACAAAGAACATAAAAATAATCATAAATTGTGCATGTAACAGCAAAATTTGACAGAACTTAAAGAAGACATTGGCAAATCCATAACCATAATGGGAAATTTTAACACATTTTTATTAGAATATGCCAGATAAAAAAGAGATTCAAGACTTGGATTTACCAACATGACTAAAAAGCTAAGAGAATTTGTGTTGAATGCATATGAGCATTATTTGCAAATTTGACCAGGTACGATGTCATCAGAAATATCTCAGAACTTTCAGAAAATTATTACCTAGCAACTCACATTCCCTATGACTACCGTGCAACTAAATTAGAAATCAGCAATAAAAGGATAAAGGATAAATTTGGAATCTAAAAATATATATTTCTAAGGAACTCAGGGTTAAAGAATCACAATACAAATTTGAAGTGCTTAGAACTAAATGACAAAAATACTACATGCCAAAACTGTGGGATGCATTTAGAGAGTTAATCCAAGATGGATGAAAAGCCTTGAATGCATTTATTTTTTTAAAAGATTGCAAATAGATAAGTTTTCTAGCTCACAAAGCTAGAAAAGAACAGAGTTTGCCCAAAGAAGGTAGATGCAAATAAAACTAATTGCAAAACTTAATGAAATAGAAAATAAACAAAAACAATAAATATGGACTTTGTACAGAAAAAAATAGGGTGATTCTTGAAAAGAAAATCATGGTAATGGCAATTATGGAATAAATGTAAGAAAAAACTTTAGTTGGATAGGCTTCATGTAAGAAGTAACTTTTCAAGAACTGAGACTAGACACAAAGGTTGCAGCTTGGGAACAAGACTCAAGAGCTTTTATTTTTCTACTTTATGTGAAAAAAATTTTTTTCTGAAAACTTCAACACATATATTTTATTTTGAGGAATATTTCAAAGCAGGATCATAGTAAATGCCTTTAAAATATGTAATGGAGGAAAATACTCTGTAGAGTCTGGTAATCCAGTAGAGCCAGAAATGGCAGGGGTTTCAGAACATTTGAAATTAAAGCATGTTTAACACAGTGTTAATTATAAAGGTGAAAATCTGCAATCAAATCAAATGTCCATCATTAGGAGATTAGTTAAATATTTTGAGGTATAGCCATATAATGGAATACTATGCAGTCACTGAAAATGGCAATGTAGATGCCTATTTCTTGACAGGGAATAATGTTAAGGAAACAGATTACATAACATACCACTTTTGGGGGGAGGAAAAGCAACCATATACACACATACACCTGCATGGATATATATGCCAAAACATAATTTTGTACAAGTAATTTTTAAGTTATATTTATTTATATAGTCTAAATTTTTAACATTGAATATGAATAGACTGTGAAATAAGTAAATAGGTAAATTTTTTTTAATCTGAGGGAAAAAATTTTAATTCAGTTCCTTTTTGCAAAAACCTTGTCATCTGACATACTTTTCAAAACTAGCCCTTAAGTGCTCTTTATTTAGATTTATACATTAATTTTAACTAGGTGCCTACCTTTAAGTCAAATCACAAAGAACCCTCATAACAGCCCTGCAAGCTAAGTATTGCTATCACCTACCTATTTTCCATGTGAGGAAACTGAATGTCAGAGAGGCTAAAGGTCACGCTGGATTCTTTTCTCTGATGACCTGGCTTCAAGTCTCCTACCCTTTCCAGTCCTTGGCAGGGAAAGCTAGGTCATAATGCCCTTAAAATGCTGCGAGTATGTGGTTTCAACGTAGTCTAAGCTTTCGGGCCATCTTTATCTGTAAATAAACAGCCCAGACACAACATGAACCAGCTTCTCCAGAGCAGGAGAATCTTCTTCCGAGGGGCAACAGGGTTCCCACTTCTAGGAGAGGTGCCTCCCCGAGTGGGAAGCCAGACCTGTAGTTGTGGTGTCGTAGAACCCTGAGGAGAAGACTACTGAGCGGCCTCTCACTGCCCACCCTTGTCCTGAGTCAGTCAAAGAAAGACAGTTGTACAATTTGGGCATATAAATGGCATGGTTCACAAATAATCTTAGGTAAAGAAGATTCAGGGCTGTTTTGAAGTATATTAATTTGGATATTTAGTAACCTCTTGAAGGTTGAGCTCATTAGTCAACAGCTCTAGTATATTTAGTTCTTGCATATATCTGTATTATTAATGCTATAATGTTAGTCAATTTTATTTTTCCAAATTGAAAGAAAAATCCTTTCATGTACTTGACTGTTGTTATCTCATTCTTATATCAGTCCCAATTGTCATCTTCTCTCAGAGCTATTTCATACCTTCCTTTAATCATTTTAGGAGTCGAGATTACTTTCCTGAACCTTGACTTACTCCATTCTTTTATTCTGCAAATTATTTTTAGTGCCTCCATATGCTAGGTCCTGGAAATACAGAAATGATACCTTTTAATATTCAAGGGCCTAAAACTGGAATGTATGATGTTGGGGATGTGCTGTTATCTGAATGTATGATGTTGGGGATGTGCTGTTATCTGAATGGGGTGTTATCTCAATATTCTCTGCTGTGTTCCTTCTCACACATAGCAGCATTCTGATTGCTCTGTTTTAGTGTTTCTTTATCAACCTTGGGATTGCAAATTCCTTTTTTCATCATAACTAACTTCCTTTCTCTAACTTATTTACTTTTTAATATATTTTAAGTATTTCACATTTTCACAATTATTAGCCAACAGCCTCTGACACGTCATTCAAGATAGATATACCTATACCAAGTTACACTTGAAAGTACTATGGGTTGTCATTTTATTGCATACAGAAAAGCACAAAAAGGTGTTTGTTCTAAATCTGTTTTTCTTAGAATACTTGTATGTATAAGAATTATAATTTCCTCATAATGCTTTCTAATGAAAAGACATGCATGGTCCCTAATGCTCCCACGCCCTGAAGGCCACGAATGAGAACTGCAAACTTTTCTCTGAAGGCGCATAGTAGCTGGGCCAGAGGAACCCCATTTCATACTGAAAATGAACTACCTGGCAGCCACCCTGGCAACCTTCTGTGCCAGTTCTCTTGCCGTTTTTGTTAACAAGCAAAGGAGACTCAGTTTTGTCTCTGTTAATGCAGAGCTAATCCTTTCAACTTTACTGTTATCCTAACATGTAAAACAGCAAGTTATTCCACAGAAAATATCCTTCAAAGTATTTTTACTTATGTTTTTGGAAATGAGCCTGTTGTAAGTTTTTCTCTAGAATGGATTTCATTGCTAACAGAATAGCTAACATTTCTTAAGACACTGTCATCTCATTTTTGCATAACCGGACATGTTGACATGAACTGACAAATTCTTTCTTGCCACAGAAAGGAAAAAACTAAAAGCCCCCCCACCCCCGAACTCAATTATTAGTATTTAAGGAAATTGTCTAAGCCCTAATGTAATTTGTACTCTGGAAATATGTACCTTGAATACCAACTTGTGGTTTTTCACAGGATACACATATAAACCTTCTACAGTCCCAATTTATTTGCTTGGAAATTATTTTCTTAGCTTTTATTTGTGGCAGAAACAAACCTTCACTATATTTAAAGATTTAGTACTTGCTAGAATACCACTTTTTAGTTTTTGCTTTAAGAATCTGAAAAGTCACCTTTACTCCTACTATTTATTCTTTTAATAATCATCAACGCCTTAGATGAAAAGTGGCTAAAATCCTAGTGATTTTGTTTAAACTCAGGCCTTAGCAGTGAATTGAATGGGTCAGGTCATGCTGAAATGATAATTAATGGGAGGTGACTTCTCTATAAGATGAAATCTACTCAAGACCATGTTTACACATCAAGATGATCTGACCCCATTTAACTTAGTAAAATAAATATTTCTACACTCTTAGGTGACTTTTATTTTTTCTGACCAGCTTCGAGTCCTAAATTGATAGCTAAATCAATGTCTAAGATTCATTTTTTTGAAGGATATAGGTAATATTGCCCAAAAAGGTGACATACTGGTAGCTACCTACACTTTGTCAGAATGGAACCTCACTCACCCCAGAGTGTTTATATCCAGAGTAGGGTTGTTTGTGGTCAGTCTGAGGGGACCTCGCTTCCCTGCCTCCTAGGGAGCTCACTTTCTCTGGCTTGTGGAAATGTGACCCTGCTGTCACCCCATGACAGTCTCATTCTGACTGCTTCTCATCAAGTCTGCAGAGGGTCATTTACAGGACAGTGCATGGAGAACTTTTTCAAAACAGTGTTTGCCAGTCTGAAGTTTCTTCTTTGTGCCGATTCTTGCCATGCCCTTCCAATGGTGCCCACTGAATGCCAGACAAACCGAAAGTTCTCTATTGTGACACACACTTTCCCTCATAACTGGCCCCGCTTCCCTCCTCAGTTGGCTCTCTGGCCATGTTCCCTCTTATAATGTCCTGGCTCCAGCCATATAAATTACTTGCAATCTTTCTTTTTCCAGTTAGAGTTGATATCCAATATTTTATTAGTTGCAGATGTACAGCCTAGTGGTTAGACAGTAAATAATTTATGAAGTGATCCCCCCAATTAGTCTAGTACCTATCTGGCACTATACATAATTATTACAATATTATTGGCTATATTCCCTGTGCTGTTCTTTACTTGCAGTCTTTTGATAGCCTATATTTTCTCACAGCTCTGTGCCTTTCTGACACTCTTCCTTCCATCTTGATGCCTCCTCTTCCCTCTCCCCTGTATTTTTACCTCTTTTCTTTCAAGACTCAGTTCAAAATCAGCTGCTTCTGAAAGCTTCCCTGATTGTACCCTCTCCTGCTCACTCGCCAGCCTGTGCAGAAATGCAATGTGGGGTGCCCTTGCTAGGGTACTGTGCTCGGGAATAGCATCTATATTGTCTGTTGTTGCTGTTTTTTTTCTGTTTCCCACAGCCTATGAAGTTCTGTGAGTGGGGACTGCGTTGTTAATTTTCTATATCTCCAGCTGACCCATGATTGATGCTCAATAAATACCCATAAAGAATAGCAAAATGCCAGCTTTCTTGATCTTCAATCAAGGGTTCTTTATTAGACTACAGTAAGCTCTTGATTAATAATAGTAACTGGTATTATTATAATAGGAACGGGCTGTGTTCTAGGCACTGCCCTGGGCACTTTACATATATTTACCTGAATCCTCACAAAACTTTCACAAAGCCATTTCCAGTGGTGAAACTGAGGCACAGTGCACTTCCGTGACCTGCCTGAAGACATAGCTGTTAAGTGTCAGGATTCAATCCAGGCAGTTTGGCTCCAGTAATCATATTCAGTGCAATACGTTTTCTTCCTAGCTCCTATTTCCAACATGATCTGATGTTATTGGTAGAAAACAAGTAAAATAGGAAGACATCTGAAAATTGTAACACATACGAACTTACACCTGTCTGAACAAGAGAGAAGAAGAGGGCTGAAGAGATGGGAAAAGGGAGGAAAGGAGAGAAATATGTTGATTTAAATAAAGGAATTTATTAATTTATAGCATATTTTTAAATAAGTAAAGATTTCATAAATGATTTTAGATTTTACTATTTTTAACAATGTTTCTATAAAACAAATTGGGCTGAAATTCCTGTTGAAAGAAGATGGTGAATGCCTAGGGTAGCTTTTATGCTATTAATTTGTTTTCATAGTACTTTTTAGATGTTTGCAGATATTTAACAAAACATTTGTATTCTTCTCTTTGGGCTTTCAAAACACCATAAGGATCTTTGTTACTTCTGCAGTTTTAACGGGATTTTCACATGCATTCTTTCATCTTACATCCAAGTCCTGTATTTTACACACTTCTTGGGAAGCTGAAAAACTGTACAGGCTGGAGGATTCTACACATTCTCAGCACATATCATATTCTAGGGTTTTAACAACTCCAGCAGGCCCTTAACCATAGCAGGGAGAAAGGTATCACTTGTAAACTCTTTTACTGGGTGGTAAGCTCTTTTTTTAAATATAAATTTCTTACGGATGATGGTGTTATCTTATACAACATTTTATCCCATAGAGTGTTTCAGAATTGTCCTACAATAGGTATCTAGTAAATGCCTATGTAATACATAAATGAATGAAAGTCATATAATGACCTGAGTCAGTATTTATTCCATTAAATGACCAGTCGTGTTATTACTGATAAGCTCTCAGAAGCCAGTCGAAAGTTAAGTTATAAAAGGCATTAACCACCACCACTACCGTCACTTGATAGGTGAGCATGTGAGTGAGGATGATCTGTGGAGTAGAGTGCTCTCTGCAGTGTTTGTGTCCAAAAAGTACAATTAACCCCCAGAGCGAAAACATGCACCGAGATGATATTAGCAAATGCAGAGTCCAGACAGCAAGAACAGTTAGATGTATAACCATCCATAGAGTCGGTCTTTATGTAAAACAGTCTGTAAAGATCTGAAAATTGCCTATTGGATTCATCCTCTGGCAGTTTCATGGGCAGAAAGAGGGGTAAATAACGATAGCAGTTTCCTAACACCTAGTATGGAGAATCCAGTGTTATAAGGACTTGGCAGCATTATTACTCCCCATTTTACAAATGAAGTGACTGATGCCAGAAATGTTAGGTAACTTGCCCAAGGCCACACAGTTTGTGAATAACAGAGCCCAGGTTGAGCCTGACTCCAGAGCTCAAGCTCTTAAACACTACACTATACTGTACTTAGAGGAACAGCCACCAAAAAACTAAAAAACCACACCCTCCTTTCGAGGAAGTTTCCTTCCTCACAGCTTATATTTTATCAGAAGTTTCTGTTACCTCCATTCCCAACCTGGACATAAATATTGGCGAAACGCTGCATTTAATTCATTATTATGCGATTTTTTTTTTTTTAGCCTTACTGGTCATCAAATAAATATAAAGCAAACAACAGCGATATTCTTTTTTCAATTATCAAATTAATAGTTTATATTTAGAGTTAAAATACTCAGGTTGACTGAGAAACAGTGAAGCCCAGATTGTCACTGATGTGAGAGTAAATTGGTAAAATGTTTCTGTGAACCAAAAAACATCAATTTATACTTAAAGCTTTAAAACAAATTCTACCCTTTTCCCCAGGAATTCTGCTACTGGGATTCTGTCCTGAAAAATAAAGTGCAAAAGTATAGAAGTAGTAGAAGTATGGAAAAGACTTTTATGTGCATAGATATGTGGTCAAATTGTAAAATGTAACAACTGTTTTTAAATTGTGCTGAATAACTTGTTATATATTCAATACATGTAAGTGTAGGAATACCTCATCTTAAAATAACTGTTCCTTTCCCTTCATATTAAAGTATCCTGAAGTATTAGCATTATTTATTAATACTATTTTTTTGTAATTGCGAGTTCACATAGAGAGCACAAAGTAAACCTTTTTTTTGGCAAAGATATTTCTGGCATGATTACTGCTTTAACCTAGCTTAATATTAGTTGATTAGAACTGCCAGTCACTAGAGAAGCTAAACTATATTAATAACATAATTTTTGTTAGAAATATTTATAGGTTGTTATTAAATAGATCCTTTCTTATCTTATACCTCAATTTAGCTTTCAAAGTTTTTCTTAACTCAAAAGACTTCTCTATAAAACAAAATATCTGGTACTTACCTCTTGGTGACTTGTTGAGGCCCCTTTGTAGTAGCAGTCAGTATTTGCCCAAACTGAAGTAAGTTAGGCTTGGCATGTTCTAAGAGAGATTATACATACATCCTTTTATGGTGGTGACTTTTTTTCTGTCACCTTGTGACTGAGCATAGTAATGATCAGTTAGCCTCATGTATGCGTGTGCACATTTTTTTTTTAATGGGAAGTGAAAATTTTCAGTTAGTGATTTTTTTTTGAATAGTTATCCAAAAACCCCTTGGAATTTATGAATTGCTGATATTTATGGAACTTTATAAATTTTTCTATAAAGATTTAAGTATTAAAAAAAATGTCTGTGAAAGAGACTGAGGCAATAAACTTTAACTAGAAAAAAATGAATCATGGTTACTGATGATTTTATATCCATGTTCTGTGTGAAGTATGAGTTTTTAAATGTTTTAAGGGAAAAGATGTTAACTTTGACAGTTTTATCTACCTAGAAACTTGGTATAAAGGGTAGTTTGCTCAACAGCTAATGAGAAAGAAACAAGTTTCTGTAGTGAGTGGGAGAAAGATGCTCTTTTGCATATATACAGGGATTAGTCGATGTTTCTAGGCAGGAGGCTGACTGACTGGAATCAGTGACTGCATAGACACCTGAATGACAAGGGAAGACTTGGGGGACGCTCACTACAGCTAAAATTCAGCCTCTTATACACACAATGAAGGAGACCTACGCTGTTTACCTTATAGATTTAGTTGACTGTTTAAACCAGGGGTGGAATATGGCTATCAAAATGGAGTTTATTTGTAAGCTAAATTAAAAGAAACAGTGCTCAAAACAAGAGAGGTGATATTTACTCTTATCCTGGATTGATCTGGCCATTTCCAGTCAGCTCTCGGCACTGCATTTTATAAAGGGTTTAGGGGACTTAGAGCATGTCTGGGATGGTGAGGGGTCTGAATCCCAGGTCTTATGAGAAATGATTGGATAAACAGAATGTTTAGACTTGGCAGGAATGTGATCACTATTCTCATGTGTTTGGAAGATGTATCATAGAAAAAGGTTTAGGTTGCATGTGTCAGTCTTCCTAACTCCAGAGAATAGAAGGATGCCAATAAGAGGAAGCTACTTGGAGAGAGCTTTCAAATCGAAATGTGAGAGTCATTCCCAAAAGTTAGGATCATCAAAAAATGGAATAAGCTGTCTCTTATTTAGATGCTTACATAAACTGGGCGACTATTTTGAAGAATGATGTAGAGAGAATTGAATCATTTGGCAGAAATTTGTAGCTCTAAGACCTCAGAGGCCCTTTGATTTCAGGGGTTTGTCAAAATGGCCAAGTGGTTTTATCCTCTTGGTGGTATTATTCCATATAGAAACTTATTAGGTTCTTCTAAGGTCTAAAATGCTGAAGATCTGTAGAGAATCCTTGTCAAACAGAAGAGCAACAACCACCTGTATTCTTTGGACCTCTGCCTCACTACCTTTAAAATAAAGGCATTGAACTAAATGGTCACCAAGATAATTCCCAGTGCAAAAAAAATTCTATGAGGGGAAAATAGAGATTTTATGATTTGGTGGGTAAATATGATAAAATATTCTAAAACTAGTTCCTTTAAAACTTAGATTGAAGAATACTTGAAGAAGACCCAGTTGAGAAGTTTTTCAATTTGTTCAAAGGCCATCCTCATGGGATGTTTGATTTTTAATTTTTGAAACAGTTTTTATTAAGTATATAAAGAACAGGTGATGGGATAATTGTCCTGCAAGATGCTGTTGACTGAGATAATTTCATGAGCTCACAAATCTTATTTTTGTTGTTGTTGAAAGTTACTAGGATTTCTTTAGTTGTACTATAAAAGTAGAGTCAATGTCCTTTTCTGTAGAAGAGGTAAGATGGACATCTGTGACCTGCACTGAGTGTTTCTATTATTTTATTTGTTCTATAGAGCACAATTGTAAGTATATAGTAGATAATCAATAAATATTAGTAACATTCATTGAAGGAATGAATGAATTCTTTATAACTTGTTTTCCTCAATTCTATATCTTGGCCTCATATGCCAGATGGGGCTTCCAGAAGTTAGCTATTCACTATACAAAAAAGGTCAAACAGAATTATTGTTGACAGTATAAAGAACAGATGTCATAAAATAAGGAAAAGAGAAAAACTGGTCAATGACTAATAATGTGATATTTTGTGAAGTCTGTGTGTATAGAAATAGCAACAGAAAATTTCTACAAAACAACCTATATAACCATGGTCTGAAATGTGTGCTTTTGTATTATACGTATATGTGGTCTAGTATTTAGTCATCGTTTAAAACTATGTGGTGATTAATAACTTCTAAGGAATTTTAAAACTTATTTGTGTATATAAGACATGAACTGTGGTCGTTAAATGCCAATCGGTATTTTTTAATTTACCTTGAAATGAAACCTCAAACGAGAACTCTGCTTCAGATATTTTATTAGAACATCATTATTTATTCTTCATTGCTAAATGTAAACAGAAGAACTTCTATAACTTAAGTACCTTAAAGAACGTGTTCTATGGAGAGCGATCTCAGGTGTAACAAAAATAGAGTTTTCTTGTTATTACCAAAAGACCAACAGGCCATATTTTGAGTAGATATATGAAACCATATATATTAATTATATTAAAAATAATAAAACATGGAAAGGAGCTTTTTAAAGCAAAAGACAAATTCTGCTGTATGGTTTATGATTTTAAAGAGAAATTCTTTTACTCAGGAATTGTTTATTGAGCAACTACTCTATGCCAGGCACAGTTGTAGACAGTGGGGATTAAGCAGCAAACAAAGCTGACAAATCCTTGCCCTCCATCGTAGTCAGCAAGACAGATAATAAACAAGTCATGAAGAAGAGTAGATGGTTACAGCTGCTATGGGGAGAGGAAACAGTACTTGCAGAGTGGATGGGGCTGTGAGGTAGCCAGAGGCTGTGGTTTGGAATAGGGTGGTCAGGGAGAGTTTCTCTGAGAAGGTGCTATTCGAGTAAAGACCTGAAGAATGTAAGGGAGTAAGCTATGCACACGTCTGTGGGAACATGGCCAGGAGAGAAGGAAGAGCAGATACATATGCCCTAAACCTAGTCCTGCCTGAGTGAGACACACCCTGGTCCAGAGTGGCAAGAGCAACATGAGCAAGTGGCGGGGAGACTGAGCAGTAAAAGACCAGGTTTCAGGTGGGGACATAGAGCCATGCAGATCTTTGCAATGACTTCGGCTTTGACTGTAGAGTGGAGAATCATTGGAGAATTTTAAGCCCTAGAGTGGCCAACTTGTACTTTTTAATGAAAAGAATGCATAGCTGCTTAAGCAACTGTGTTTAGGTTTAGATTATTTGAATTGAGCAAAAAAAACTATTGTGTAGTATTGAGAATGACAGTTTAAATGTCTCTGTTCATTAAAATTGCTTTGTTAATATTTTTAATTCAACAAATAATGAGAGTCTATTGTGTGTAGGTCTCTGTATTGGCACTAGGGAGATGCAGTACTTTATAGATCGTGGCGCTTTCTCACAGAATTAATAATCTAATGGGAGATTTTTTAAAACCTATATGGTTAAAGTGTGAATTATATAACTGTTCAAAAATAAAGATTACTTTATTGTCTCTAATTTAATGAGCTCCTGTGCTATGTCAAGCACTGTGCCTGATGCTGGGAGGACCGAGAGATGCATTTCCTTTCCTGCCATGGGTATGCTCAATCTAGGACAAGGGCCAGTGACTGATACGCTGTGCTGTCTACTTACCTCTGCTGTCCTGTCCTTGTCATCCTCCTTACAAGACTGCGAGAGGCTGTCTTTCTCATTTTGTATCTCCAATCCTGACTCAGTGCCTGGCACTTGGGTATTCACTGTTCTAGCATTTGCTACATTGTCGTAAATGCCTGTTGATGCTGCTATCATTTATCACGTTTGCAGTGTACATTTGCTTTTGTTTTGTTTTAAATATTAGAATCAAGAGGATAGTAAATGATATTTTTATAATATGATCTCTATTAATGATGGGAAAATTTATAAGAGGCCAAAAGGGTATTGTGTTTCTACAAAAAATATGGTGAGAATATTTCTTTGTGGAAGTGAAGAATATTTCATGCATTTTCTTAGGATAAAGAAATATTTCTTTGTAATGAAGCCACTCACCCCAAAAATGGAAAAATAAAAGATAGATTGAGTAATTAAGTCAAATGTTTAATGGAGAATGGGTGCAAGTGTATGTCCAAACCATTCTACTCATTCATGTTGGCAGTCTAGCCCTTGTATAGATGTGAGTTTGCTATCCTGGGGCTAGTTCCTTGAGGTCAGGGACTGCTTCTTCTTACTCATAAATGTAGATAGAGCTCTGGTACCTGGCCTACTGCCTCTCATGAAGTGCCCAGGTGATTCACTGAAACAGTGAAACTAAGTTAGCTTTGAGGGTGAAGAAGAGAGCTACCAGTCACCAGGAGGAAATGGAGAAATTCCTGAGGAGAAGTGTTAAGCTGTCATATACCATAAGTTTCCTAAACAGGAAAGTGGAAAAGACATTTAGGTTGAAAGAATAACCTGTGTCAAAGAATAATCAAAAGAGCCTAATGTGCCCAGAGAGCATCTTTAGGGGCTGGGGTGAGAGAGGAGGGGCCAGATCTACAATGACAAGAAAGAATTGGAGGGCTTTGCTATTTCATGCCAATATTTAAGTTTCCTCTTTGGATATTGGGAGCCTGTGGAAGGAAGGATTTTAAACAGGGGTGTGACAAGATCAGAGCTGTGTTTTGGGAAGAGAATACTGTTAACTGTGTTAAGAGATGAGTTGGAGAGAAGACTAAGTATAAGGATACTTTCAAATATGTCCAGTTGAAAGTATCAAATTGAATTTATTAACTCAGGGGAGGGGACAGGCAGACAGTTCTGGGACTCACTTCATTTTCTTAATTGAAGCCATAGAAGGAATTGCAGTTATACAAAGAGAGACTCGAGCAAGAAGAAAAGACTATAATGGAACCTTGGAGAGGTTAGGAGAGTGGTAGGAGAAATCATAGGGAAACCAGCAAGAAACGGTTTAAGACAAAAGGAGGAAGGATTTTGAGGAAGAGAGAGCATGAGTGGTAAGCTGTGTCAAGTGCTATGGTGATATATCGGACAAAGTCTGAGCTGAGGCTTTTGGATTTGACCATGATGAATTATGTTTGTTGCTTTTGGTTTGTTTTGTCTCTTTAATTAGATTTTAAGGCATTCTTTTAAAGAAACATAGCACAAACTTTAAATTCTCTCGCAGTGCCTGGCAATTAATTAGTAGATGCTGAACCACTTCTTTGCAATACTTTTGGGATAGTTAACAAGCTAAAAAATATAATTTATAAGTACAAATTATTTCAAGCATGATGTAAATATAGAAAGCAACTTGTATATCTAAGACCATGCTTTCAGACTGAAGTAAAATTATAAGCAGTGTTATATCAAATGTACATTTGCCATTGGTATTTTAAATTGAGTATTATACTATAGTGATTTTTCTTTATTTGTTTGCATAGCCTGGCACCTGTGTTTGCTCTGTTTGTACCATTTTACTGCTCCATACCAAGAGTCCAAGTGGCACAAATTCTGGGTCCGTTGTCCATCACAAACAAGACATTGATATATATATTGGGACTACAGGTACAGTATGCATTTTTATGTTCACGTTTTTTTAACCAGATTTTTTTTTTTTTTGGTCTTTTTCTCATTTGATCTCCTTGAAAACAATGTTTTTTTTCCCCATAAGTTTGGCTTCATGATCTATATCAAATGTTCAAAGGAAGTGTTACAGAATGAGAACATCAAGGTATATAAGGTACTAGAATACTTTCATAGCCTTTAGAATCTGATAAGAGCTTTCACTGTAATTTGTATCAGTGGAAAATATTTTAATTTCATTGTACAATAGCGTGTAAGTACTTTTAAAAATCATAGCATGAAGTGGAAATAAATGAGAACAGTCAAAAGGTGGAAAGTGGAAAATCACTGTCAAAATTAATTTATTGAGTACAGTGTCACAAATAAAGCTCTGAAGAAGAAACCAGATACTCTTTACCAGCCCGAGCTTTGGAGTTTGCTAGAAGCATTACCAACTTATAACTTCTGTGTTGCATGGCATGATAGCACTGTCACCATCTGCTAAATGGTTTGATACGAAGACTAGTAGAGTACTTATTATTTAACTTAAATTGAAAAAGATGATTACCACGAATATTCAGTAAATATTGATCGCTCTCTGCTGGTTTCCAGTCCCTGTGGTAGAAAACACATGATTTTCAGTTTTCTACCTGTAATACTTGTCACTTTTCTTTCACTCTCACAGCTTTTGATGTAAAACTTTTATTCTGCTCTTTCCTGTGGTACCGTGTGTAGTTTGGCCTTTTGATCCACTGTTAATACTCATAACATTCCTTATCCCACACATATCAAACCGGATACTAGTGTCACTATAAAATGCCCTCCTCCCTCCCCTTTTAACCTTTAGCATTTCCTCTAACTTCTCTAGTCTGCTGTCATGTGTTATCAATGGCTCATCTGGGGTGGGTGTTTCCTTATCACTTTTACAACCATTTCTCATGAAACTTCTTTATTCTTCATCTCTCAACCTATATAGTGTTACACTTTCCCTTATCCTTCCTAATATTTGTTTAACCTAATAGCACATTTCTGCAGTGTATTCTTATTACTAGTATTTGCTCTGGCATGCTTAATCTTTTTTAAAGATGTTACAATAGGCAGAATGCAATGGTAGAAGGTACCCTGGACCTGGGACAAGAAACCCAAGTTCTAGTTCTAACGTGGCACTCGCTAGCTTATAGCTTGGGTCAAGTTATAGAAGCCTTCTCAGCCTCATGTTGACTCTATAGTTTCTTCCAACTCTGAAGTTATATACCATCTAGAGAGCGAAAAACATTGTTTTATTAATTATGGGCTATGAAGTCAGTGGAGCATTGCAGAAAGTCTTTGGAGTTAAGTAGACATTGCTCTAATTTCTTGCTCTGGTAATTACTTACTTTATCACCTTTTCTGAGCCCCCATTTTCCCATCTGTGAAGTGGGGTGATAGTATCTATCTTAACAGGAACATTTGAAGGATTAGAGATAATAGTATTGGTGTTTAGGGTAATCTGAACAGATAATAAGAACTAAGTCACTTGGTCCCTATTATTAATTAACAATTTATATCTCTACGTCTACCACATTGGTGTTCTGAAATTGTGAATGTTTTTTATTTTCTGGTTTTTGGTTTGTTTTTTGTTCTGTTTTATTTTTTGGTAAAGTAGAAGTTTATATCAAGAAGTAGAAGTGAAGCTACCTCATTGGCCTTTTTGATAAAATCTAAAGTCCTCAGCATGAGTGACATCCAGGATTCTTCTTGCCTATCTAGTATCAACTTATACCTCCCCACCTTGAAGAGACTGTGAACCCCTTATTTTTATTTTCTCCTTCCCTTCTTCCTTCCCTCCCCTCTAGACCGTTGCACATATTTCTGTGCCTTTCTGTTTCTCATGCAACAGCTTCTTAAAGCCACAGATATTTGATGAATGAATGAATGAATGAATGAATTTAATCATTATCAGAAGAGCAAAAATGTTTGTGAAGGGTCATTTAAGTATCAAATGGCTTGAGAACCAGTCATGTAATGCACTGTGCTAAGGACTGTGGGGGATAAAATGAAATATGAGATGTGGCACCAGTTGTCAAGGAGCCCAGCTATGAGAAAAAACAGACACTGTCAGAATATGAGCAGACACACTTAGAACCAAACATGCAATAAGATGGGGGGCTTAAGAGTCCAAAGGAAATAAATTTTTACTGACAAAATTAATGATATGCTCATCTTACTTGTATGTGAAACAGTAGCATGGAGAGATCACGAACGGGGGACAGTGGAGCCAGACCACTGGGTGTATACTCACAGCTCCGCCACTCAGCAGCTCTTGGACCGTGAGCAAATTACTTAACCTCTCCGTTTTTTCATGGGTAAAATAGAGTTAATAATAGAACTTACCTCATGGGGTGATTAGGAGGATTCAGTAGATTTAATATGTGGAAAGCATTAAGATCATAGCTTGGCACATAAATGCTATGAAAGTGTTAGCTATTTTATTATTCTTTATATTTTTAAAAGAACATTACAGAAAAAGTATTTTCCACATAATTCCAGTCCTCATTATTGTCAGAGTCATTTACACTGAACAAGCATCCATGCTAGATCAAAAGATTAAACTTTAGACCAAGGGGTTAAAGTTGCAGCTGATGCCCACTCTACATAAGCTAGTGCTAGAGCAACACTCGTCAGCCTCCTTTTACCTGGGCTTGGTCATCTCTTTCCTTTGTATCTGCCTTCTTTCTATGTATCTTTTTTTTTCTTATGTGTTCCTGAAAAATGTGTGTAACTTTGAGGTTTTCATCTAGCACAGTGCCAGCAATGAACTTGAGTATCTTTTCTGTACAAGCAGAAGTAGTTAAACTCCCAATCTAAAGCTCTGTATATGAAATATGAGCGAACACTAGGCTACGAATCTTTACTATCTTCTAGGAACACTTTGAGATGTCCATGACTTTTTTTAAACCCTGTCCACAACTCTCAAATGTAAATGATTTGAAACACAGGGAGAGATTTCATAAGACTTAACCTTAATTACTTTTGCCATTAATTTACTTTGATATCATTACTTAGTTTGCTCTTCCTTGGATGAACTGGGATGAGAATATCAACAGTTAAGCAAAATAGCATTGGACATAGACCTATATGTTTGCAAAAGTCTTCCCATCTAAATTTAGAGTAACGATAAGAAATTAATATGAGAATTATGTAAACTGATATTACCTGTCATTACTTAACACCAAGCATTGGATGGTAACTACATATTTTGTATATTAATTCTAATAATTCCTTTATATGTGGTATTTTACCTTGTTTAAGTCAATTAATGTTCATTTTAAAATAAGAATATGCTTGAATTTCACTTATTTTTCTTTGCATGGGAGTGGGCCAGATTCGACCAATCTGTTTTAGGCTATGAAAGGTGGAGGTTTTAGTTAAAAATTAATATATTTTTTAAAAATAACGGGATTGATATTTATTAATTTTCTCTTTATAGTAAGATAAATAAGTAATACTTAACATAAATGGTTATGATTATAGTTCTATAAAAATAAGTGTTCTGTGACTGGCAGTTGAATTTCATTTTTAGTTGCCTTTTTTTTCTTTTATAGCTTTTCACCTCTGGTTCCTACATCTGGATTGTAGCCATAAGTGGACTTGTAAGTGTGATTCCCTCCTCCCCCTATCCCCTCTCTTTTCTGAAGAAACTTTAGGAAAAATGTCATATTTAGATTATGGCTCATATTCCTTGTCTCCAACATTCTTCTAACCATGTCAGGTTCAGTGTCAATGCTACTTCTTTAGTGATGTAAAAGGGCCATCGACATAGGTAATTGAGGTGGCCTATTTGTCTAGTTTTGAAGTAATTTTGGTGAAAGTTTTAGCTGAGTTTCTTGTCAGTTTTTTTTTTTTTTAATTACATTAGTAGTTGAACTCATAGTAGGAAAAAAATAACAGAAAAAAAATGAAGAAGTTGGGTTTACTAAAAATAATGAGATATATTCTACTTGTTTTGTAAAGAGACATTGTCATGCAAGGGGAAAAAAATAAGGCTAAGTGGAAAGTCAGGTGGATTGGAACTGACAGGAGACTCATCGGGATGTGTGGCCAGAGAAGGAAGAAGTGAATGAGCCCCAGGATTTGGGTGGTGTCCTCATTTTGTGTGCTAGAATGTCTTCATCTCACCGATCCCCCTCTACTCTGTATATTTTTTATTTGAATAAGCATTTGTCGTAAACTCTATTTATGAGGTATTTAAAAACAAATTTAGAACATGAAATTGAACTGTATTTTTCATTCATGACTTAAATTTGAACCCCCAAATTTATATAAACATAAGTTTGTAACTAGTGTATATGGAATATAGTTTTAATTTCTTTCTTGGAAAAGACTAAGAAAATTACAGAACAAATTCATAATATGTAAACATCAAAGAGAAAGGATTTGGAAATAACTATGTACTCCAGTACAGTCATTTTAATCACTATAATTTGTTTCTAGTGAATGGTATTTTGTGCTACTGTGTCTTTAAGGCTATTCAGTTCTCTCTTTCTTTTATGCTCTTGATGGTATTTCTTTTGTATTCGTTCTCTTCATATACAACTAATCCTTCATTCCTTACTGCTTCCAGCCAAAATTCTGGGGAGTGAAGTCTCTTTGTTTGCCCCTCCCTAAGTATTTTCTCAGATACCCAGATACCTGATTTGCTTTCGAACCACAGTGCTGAAATCTGCTGTGAGGTCTTTAAACCATCTCAGCCACCTCATATTCTTAAGATTTGTAGTGACTTGGGGACAGACTGGGGTCAGACTGAGTCTTTGGAGCACAATTGCCAGGGTCTCTGTAATCTAATCTTATTCCCACTTGAACTGCCAGCTTGATTGACATCTACTTAACCAGCCTGCATACAATAGATAGCTCATTGCTTTCATCATCAGAGCAGCAAGAGTGTTTACTATTTCTTTCATGATACATTTTGTTTCTCTTAGTAGTGATGGTCTCAAGTCCTATTTTGGATTTTTTCCTAAAGCATTCAAGAATTTGAGAAGTACTTTACTGTGTGCTATTTCATTGTTAATTTATCCAACTACATCTTTGATAACTTATTATGTGACTCATTTAAGACATCCCATTTTCTTTATTCTGTTTTTAGACTCCCGGTTTTAAATTAAGTGCTTGCTATCACCTCAGATAGTTTCATTTCGTGACATTCATATTCTAGAATTGGAAGTTACATTTTTCATCTCTCTGTAGTCTTTAAAATCGAAAATGTACAGGTTGTTGTCACAGTCTTTTCCAGTACACATGCTTAGCAGGTAGTAAGGTACTTGTTTTGTTTTGTTTTTTAATCGGAAGTTTAACGAATTTTTAACATAAAAATCCATTGTTGCAAAAGAGTGAATAGAATGGCACAATATTTGGAATATAATTTCTAGATAAATTTAGCATTTAAATAATCCCACTGTGAACACCTCTGAGCCAACTGAATTTTTACTTTTTACGGTAAGTCAGCCAGTGTTAAGCGCCCTTCTACCATGAACATGAATCTGATAAATCTTCATAATCAGCCTTGTTATTTATTATTATTCCTCTACAATTAGATGGTAGTGTGTTTACTTGCAATGATTAATATCAGTGAGAATCATAGCCAATTTTCCTGTATAATATACTGTAAGTATTGATGTTTGTTTTGAACATAATGAATATTTTATTTCTGACTTTTTTTTAGAAAACTACATTTTATTATGAATATTTCATATAATATGGTATGCTTTAGATAAAGAAGAGGATATTAAAATTATTTGTGAATATTTGCTTTACACACCACTGATTATAGGATCAAAGTCCGAGATTCACAAAGCCACAGCTTGTCCCAGATGTCTCTTGCTCAATGTGACTTCTCTCCCTACATGTATCAAGTGACTTCCCTTTTTTTTTGTTTTGGTTTTATGCTAAATAAAATACTAAAAAGAAAATAAAATTCTTACTACCAAAACAAGATGCACAGATGGTATTCAGTGTTTTTGGGGAATGTTAGAAACTTTGTTGATGAAATTTCACCTTCTAGTATTAAAACCATCAGTTTACCGAACATGCTGTATGTGTGAAGGAAGTAATTGTATTTCAGTTTGGCACTTATGTGTTCTTTAAGAGAAAGAGCTTTATTTAAAAAAAGACATTTGTGTAAAACATAAGGCATATGTTATCTACTGTCATAGAAACCAAAAACTTACTCATATTTTCTGGAAAGCTGCCAACTTTGAATTTAGTTTATTTTATGTAGTTATTGGTAGATGATTTTGGTTAGACTGGTTTTTCTCTCTCCTTGTAGCATTCGTTGTTACATGATTACAAATGTTTCTGAATATATAACTTAAAAATATCCCACTGATTAAAAGATTTCAAAATTTCAAAAATGTTAGTATGTACCTGCTTCCATCATGTTCTCACCATGATGTTTAATTGTTCTTAATGTCTTTGGTGAAAGCTTTAGAAACTGAGAAATCTATGTATTTACAATGTCACTAATCTTGTTACACATTAATATTTTTTTTTCTTAAAGAAAATGTTTCTTACTTACTGAACTTTACTTAAGTTCTTTATGCGGTTCTTCGGTGAGACTTTGGGCCATCCATATCTCCACACTTCTTCATTTTCTGCCGCTTTATGAATCATAAAGCGGCATCATAGTGAGTCATTACTGCTGGAATGGACCCTGATTCTCAAAAGTTGAAGTTTGGGCCTGAGCTAATTCTGGTGTGATTAAAACAGAAAGAACCTGCTATTGCCGATATTCTCTTTTTACATTTCAAGCTAATTGGGAGTGAATTAACAGACAGGCCTGTTATTTCTCAGACTCTAGGCTTCACCCCTTCAACATATCCCTTTACGGTCTGCCCATTTCCTGTGTTTTTTACCTGTTCCTTACAGTATATCACACTTTGATTTTCTTGTGATCAGCAACCTTATTATGAAACAAAGTCTGTCTTACTCAATAAGATTAGAAACATAGATTGATACCAGATTATTTCGTATTTTGAATGTGGTCTGAATTTGTATTTTTTTCTGTAGACAGTGAGGAATCTTTAAAGATTTTCAAATGAAAAAACTTTATGATGGTGCAAGAGTATGGAAGTCTTATTAGGGTTTGCAAATCGTAGACAAGAGGAAGGGAAAAATGAGTAATCATGAAGGAGTCGGGATGGCTCATTTGTGGGCTGTGACATGCCTTTTTCTCTTCCCTCTGCAGTAGTTTTAAAGACAAAAAAGAAAACATCGTCCTATGGTATCTGTAAAAGAAAAAACATTGAACAACCTTATGTTGATTGGCTTTCCAAGTCATGGTATAGCATTAAGAGGAATGCTTATGGACTAGCATAACCTACCATGGAAATCTAAACTACTTCAGAGTAAGTTTTGGAGCCCTGACCTGCTGCCTGCACAAATGAGAATGGGATGCTGGATCCTCCATGCCTTCCCCTGTTTTTCATGTCTCTCTTCATGTTTCCATTTCTTCTATTATTCTTTCTTCCCTTAGATTTCTTGTCCAGATTGACCAAAGAAGGATACAGTATAGCAGGTCAGATAACTCGTTTGATGCCCAAGGTTTTCAGTCAAACTTTAGAAACGGAGATTATTTTCTAGCAGTTCATTAAAAATAAGGACAGAAACTGCAGAGGGTTGTCAAGACTGGTTAGAGCTCTGAGTTTGGTTGAGCTTGTGAAAGGACAAGTATAAAGTAGAAGACAACATTAGATCTGTAGGAAGTATTCATTATTTAGAGGGTGCTTTCGCCTTCTTAGAATTAAAATAGTTTATAATCCCAACACTGAATCGCGTGTTTATTAGTCCATTGTACCTTTCTCTCTGTCCCTCCCCCTTCTCCTCTCTTTCTCTTTCTCTAATATATTGATTTATTCATTCCTTCTGTCTTCTCCCCTTTTCCCTCCCTACCTCTCTATGCCCCCTTCCCCTCTCCTGACCCCAGGTAGCCTGGTCCTACTGAAAGGAACCTTCTGTCTTCTGCCTTGTCAGCAATTGCAACTCAGTCCAAGGCCGACAGGGAACATTTATTAGACAGGTATTACACAGTAAAGAAGTGACTACTAGACTTTGATTTTTAAATGTTCAAAGCAGAATAAATGAAGTTATGCCAGTGTCTTAATAAAACTAACTGTAGCAGAAGTGCCTTATAAAATATAGCTATACAAATTTTTATTACTGTAACTTAGCTTTTACCTATAGGCAAAAACCTGGCCTCCTTTCAAAGGCTTTCAAAATTTGGCCTCTTATACCACTTCCACCCCTGTGTACCATATACTTCAGTGACACCGAACATTTTACTGTTCTCAAACATCTCTTCCTATCTCACTGTGCCACTGTGCAATCACTTATTTTTCTTTAACAAACACACAGCACTTACTGTGTACCAGGCACTTGTGGCAGATTATATTATTTGTTCAAATATTTTTATTTGTTCAAAATATTTGATGCCCCTCTCTGCCGGGCCCCTCCCTACAAGTCCTCTGCATACCCCATTAACTTCAGGCTTTACTCTGTGACTTACATTAGCCACTAAAATATGACGACAAGTGATGAATGCTTCACAAGCAGAAGTTTTGAGAGCCATTGCATGGTCCTACCATTATTCTGTTTCCTT